AAAAAAATCTTGCAGACTTATTCACGAAACCGTTAGACAAATCCAGGTTTGAATTACTTCGTGCCGCTCTCGGAGTTTGTACGATTAATATCTAATTACTCCAACAGGTAAATGCTTTAATTTTTATCAGTTTATTTATTCTCTTTTCATTCGTGCATTAATTTTTCTTATTTTCGAATGTCTTTCAGGGATAAAAGTGTTTCCACGTGCGGATTTTTTTTCTCCTCTCATAAATAATATTTTTTCCGAAGCCTTATGCTTCAATTGAATTTGTGTCTAAATTCTTTTTGTTTTTTTTTCGAATTCTTTTAATCTTCTAGTGACTTATTCAAGTCAAACTCCTTTTCCTACTCTACTCCCTCTAAATAGCATTCATAATATCCTAGGCTTCATCATACACTAGACTTCTATCCATCATATCCTCCACACAACTTTTGAGAAGCCATCAAATCCTTCTTTAATTCATTGTCTCTACCCAACCGTCCAACCCTTGCTCAAGAGACTACACCCTTTGTCTTCCTTCCTTACCATACGCCTTTCTCACCAAGCTACCATTAATGGAGAATCCTTTTCTCTCTCTTGATTCCTCGCATGCACGAGTTCATCTTCTTCGCAAAATCATTGATGCAGATTCTCCGTATCCACCTGAGGTCACGGATCGCATTCTCGCTACCATCAAAGATCAATCGGCTTTACTTGATGATCTCTCGGACAAGGAAAAACGTCAACTTCTTGCCCTTGCCCGCCATGTCTCCGCCGTCCCGTTTCTTCTTCCATCCGAGACAAAATCTGTGCCTGCTGTATATGAGCCGATACCAGCGTCTGTCCTTCTTTCTTCAGTCAATCCAGTGGTATCACCCTCATCTCTTTCTCCTCTTGGTCGAAATTTATCTACTTCTCGTAAAATTGATTTCAATGTTTCTTTACCTGAGCAGTTTGTGTCCTCTGTGCCCACTTGTTCCATAAATGTACATTCTCTACCATTGCCAAATAACCCCTATGATCCGGCTTCTCATCCCGTATCCCGCTTTACTGCTCCCTTAATTTCTTATTCTGATTATGTGAGCTCTTTATCCTCCAATTTCTCTATTCGAAATATAGCACAAAATTTATCCTCTCCAAATATGCCTATGCCGTGTTCTGCCTTCTCCATTCCCATTCACATTCCTACCACTACTGCAAAAACGGGGACCGCCCCTATACCTATGTCACCAATGAAAGACTCTGTTCCCCTTATTACTGTGCCTTTATCTAAGCCTTCCCGTAAGGGAAAGGAGAAATTGTGTGATGCAGGTCCCACTGAAAAGAGAAAGATTGCCGATGTGGATGCTATAGATGGTCCCACTGACCGAAAACATCAAAGACGGGGGTCCACTCTTCCACCAAGGATCACTCGTTCCCGAGCAAATGTTGATTCTCCTATTGTTCCTCCTTCAGGTTCCAAATCGAGAAGTTTGGGCAAGGTCTACAAACCCAAGTTGCTTTCACCCGAGTTATTGACAGTTTGTCAGACTCATATTCACCGAGATTTCATCATTGAAAAGACCATCAATGAAGCAGATTTGACTGTCAAGTGTAACATTATCCCTTTGCTGCGAGATCAAAATCTACTTGCTTCCCTCCGGCATGTTGGTCCGTATTCTACTTGGTTGACGGCCGAATTCTATACAAATATGACTTTGGATACATTTACTGAAGGCTCCGCAAGGTTTCATCAAGTCTACATTCGTGGCAAAAGTTACCCCTATGGCCCTACGGAGATTAATGCTTATTTGGGCACCCCGAATAATCCTGCCTCACCGGATCCAAGCCCTCAATTGTTAGCTACTGCTCTCACTCATAATAAGGCAGTTTCATGGCCGAAGGATGGTCTTTCTAGCTTGAAGCTAACCACGGTCTATTCTGTGCTTTTGCGCCTAGCTTCCGCGAATTGGGTCCCGGCCGTGCGTCGTCACCAAATTTCTAAACAACTTGCTGGACTCCTATACAAAATCCGAAACCGCCTTCCGTTCAACCTTGGCATGGTTATTTTCTCTCATTTAATGTCTTTTTTGCAGAAAAAGGAGGCCAAAATACATCTCCTGTTTCCATGTTTGATCTTCGGAGTCCTTCAAGATCACGGTTTTCAACCATATAAGGAGGAAGTCCTTACAACTCCCGACAATGCCTATATTTTTGATGATCGACTCACTCAACGGGGACATTATGATGATCGGGCGTCTCTGGCTCAACTTCCGGACATTCCACCTTCGGCACCACTGCATTCTGCCCCGGCTTCTTCAGCTGACACTGCTTCGGCTTCTCGTCCGGGCGCTAAACGGATTCCCAAAGAACCCACTACTTTGGTTGATCGTCGGCAGATTCTACTCACTCTTGAGGCCTCTATTGCGCAGGTTCAACAGTCCGTTGCCTCTCAATAAGCCACCATCGCTGGCCTGGAAAATCTTCGGGATGTGCAGCTCAAGGAAATCACCCGTATGGAAGCTATTCACGCTCAGATTCTTGCACACTCTGGTGCTGCTACCTCAGGTTCTGACTCTGAAGAGGTAGACGATGATTTTGACTCGGGCACCCCGTCTGCACGGTAATTCTGATCCACTATTTTGATGTTCACCTGCCTTTGTCATTTTCTTTGGCAAAAGGGGGAGTTAGGAGTAAGGGGGAGTAGTATGGATGTTTTGGATGTTTTGGAAGGTTGTTTAGTTTGGAAGGTTCACTACAAGAAAAATGCACATAGACAAGACTAGAAAGACAACAGTTTTTAAGAAAAGTGTTGTCTTTTGTATAAAAGACAACAGTTTGGTCCAAAACCGTTGTCTTTGATGCAACACTTTTGTCAAAGACAACGGTTTTTACTTAACCGTTGTTATAAGTGTGTTATCTTTGTGCATTTTGTGAAAAGACAACACCACAACGACAACGGTTTTTTAAAACTGTTGTCTATGTGCGTTTTTTTTTTTTTTAAAGACAACGGTTTTTTTAACCGTTGTCATTGGTGTGTTGTCTTTAAGCGCATTAGAATACACAACACTAGAAAGACAACGGTTGTTTAAAACCGTTGTCTTTGTGTGCTCTTCTTTTAAAAAAGACAACGGTTTTATTTAACCGTTGTCATTGGTGTGTTGTCTTTAAGCGCACTAGAATACACAACACTACAAAGACAACGGTTTTTTAAAACCGTTGTCTTTGCGCATTATTATTTTTTAAAAGACAACGGTTTTATTTAACCGTTGTCATTTATGTGTTGTCTTTAATAGCACTTGAATACACAACACTACAACGACAACGGTTTTATATAATCGTTGTCGTTGCGCGTTCTTTATTTGTTTAAGACAACGGTTTTATTTAACCGTTGTCTTTGATATGTTGTCTTTAAGCGTATTTGAATACGCAACACTACAAAGACAACGGTTATAACCGTTGTCTTTGCGCATCATTATTTAACAGTTGTATAAATTAAAATAAAAACAAGGATGTTAATAACAAGAGTCGAACCTTTGACCTCAAAATTAACAAATAAAGTCTAACCAACTAAGCAACACAAACTCTTATGTTTAAATGTGCAACATTTGATATATAACTGGGTTGCTTCTGTGTTGTTTGTGAAAACCAAAACAACAATTTTAGAAAATAATTGAAGGATCCCCCTAGGAAGAATAAAACTCAAAACCTCTAACATAATAAACTAAACTAAACCCACCAAGCCACACCAACACTTATATACTCAAGTGCAACATCTATAATATAACCAATTTGCTTATGTGTTGTCTTTAAAAACCAAGACAATGATTGTATAAAATAGATTAAGGATGCCACCACAAAGGATAAAACCCAAGACCTTTAACATAACAAACAAAGTTAAATCTACCAAACCACACTAACTCTTATATACTAAATTGTTACACCTTATGTTTTAGCTATTATATATCCTGAGTGTTAACAAGAATAAAAATGTAATTAAAATTTTTTGTCCAAATATATTGCATAAAAATTTAACAAAGAACGAATATAATTCAAAAGTTAATTTAATAGTTATATTTTCGTTCATATTTAAATATAAAATTATTCACCAAAAGCTCCTTGCGATGCCCAGGGCTCTGGCCACCGAGATCGCTGCTGTCGCACCTGGTATCTTTCCTTCTTGTTCGACGAGTTAACTCTATAGGAATAGAATTAACCCTTTAACAATTAAAAATTAAAATTCAGACTTCAAATCTATAATGCCTAACATCTAAATTCTTAACCTAGTCACCTGGAAGGTGGACACGATTCCTAAACTGTCATAATTGTGAATATAGAGTTAAAAAATTATGAACATAGAGTTTTATAATTATGAACATAGTGTTCTGCAATTGTGAACATATAGTTCAATAAATGTTGAATATGAAATTCAAAAATTATGAACATAGAATTCTGTAATTGTGAACATAGAGTTCAATAATTGTGAATATGAAATTCAAAAATTATGAATATAGAGTTTTATAATTATGAACATAGAGTTCTGTAATTGTGAATATGGAGTTCAATAATTGTGAATATGAAGTTCAAAAATTATGAGCATAGAGTTTTATAATTATGAACATAAAATTCTGTAATTGTGAACATAGAGTTCAATAATTGTGAATATGAAATTCAAAAATTATGAACATAAAGTTTTATAATTATAAACATAGAGGTCTGTAATTGTGAATATGAAGTTCAAAAATTATGAACATAGAATTTTATAATTATTAACATAGAGTTCAATAATTTGACGAACATTTTTTATATTCGTTATAGACCTAACTTTTTTAGGCTCTTATTAGTATAGTAGATAGTAGATATAAAAATATATATCTTCTTCTTCATATATATATATATATATATATATATATATATATATATATATATATATATATCTTCATTCTTTTTATTTTTTTTTTTGTTTCCCTCCCAAACAAAAAAAAAAAAAAGAAGAAATTCACACGCCTACAATTAGCGGAAAAAATTCCCTCCCAAACAATTTCTCCCTAACACTCCATTGCAACTTTTCCATCTCCTCAGTCAGTGCTCTCTGCCGAGAATAAGCTATGAAATTCATCCAAATATTATCCATTTTCGCCCTCTCCTTTCTGCGGCTCAGTCTTCCCTTAGCATCTCTCTTGATTCTTCTCTAATCTCACCCAAAAACCTTCTACTCTCATTTAAACAAAATCTCAGATCTTTAATTTCTTGCTCAGCCTTTAATCTCTGAGGATGGAGTCCCCAAAGCACGCGGTCGCGTTCTATGCGGAAGCAGCGGCCATAAACGTCGGTTTCTATAGCAAAGCCGATGATGTTTCGGCCGGAGCTCAAGAGTGGACAATCAGCGGTGAGAGATTGTTTGCTGGAATGGATTCGGTCAGAGGTTTCTCTCTATTTTTATTTCTCAGTTCAGAGTTTCGTGCTCAGATATGTTGTTGTTGTGGGAGTCTACGCTCATATCTGCTGCTGTTGTGGGAGTACGCTCAGATCTACTCCTTTTATTCTATCTACAACGGAACTAGCGACGGAGGGATAGAGGAGGTGGCGGCGGAGTTGGAAATCGGCCGGTTTGTGCCCATATTTCTTCATCACTCCACCCTGCCACTCACAATCGACGAAGTAAGCTTAAAACTATCATCTTTTTTGCTTTTGTTGCTCTTGTAAAATTTTTTAAAGTAACTTTTGGTGAATTTTGTGAATTTATGCATATTCTTTCAAATAAAATCATTTAGTGATTTTAGTTTTTTACCTCTGTAATTCGATGGTAAGGCTGGTTAAGCTAAGAATATGTGTTTGGGAACATGGTGAAAATGATGGATTATCCAGAATCTTGAACCAATCAGGATAGAGTTGGCCAAACACTTACAAAAATTTTAATAAATTAGTAAATTACAGCTGTGTGTTTGCAAAATTGCTGGGAGAAAGGTATGCAGTTGTATGTATCTGTTTTGTATTTCTGTAACCTGGTGAATTAAACATATGGAATGCTAAAAATGTGTAAATTCATTGATAAATATGTTGATATTGTGTCAATACTCGAACTAATTAGTAGATAGAGCTTCTTCACACCACCTTTGGCATGGTTCTATGGATGTTTGCATAACTGAATTCCTTTTATCTACTGCTCGGTTCCTTTTCCAACAGGTTTTTCTCCCTTCAGTTGGACTGAATACCACCTTTCTCTCTTTGTAACTATTATAATGACATCTTAATTCCTGTTCCCTGTGATTCTAGATTGTAAGTGCTCACCAAAGTTCATTTGAAGATGACAAGTACAGTGAAATCAAGTATCTCTTTCCTTGTAATTCATGGAAGATGATTACGGTATGTCGGTATCCATTCTTATAGAATTCTATGTTAAGGGCAATATTGTGATTTTGACTATTGTTATTCTAGTGAAAAACATAAACTTATTTATCAAACTCTTGATTTATAACCACAATATCCTTAGCAATTATCCACTTATAACTCCAACATGCTTCTTCTATGTTTCAGGAAAATGATGTGACGGTCATGATTTCCCTCCTTAAGTCCTCGAAACATGAACATTTTAAAAAATTGATCAGTCCCTTAATTAAGCCATTGCTGCGTTTCCTTTATCTCCCTTGTTCATCAAGTGGTAAATACATTTTTTTGGTCAGGCTTAATTTAAAATCTTCAATTGATAATACGTTCTTTTTAGTGGTCATGGCTGGTGCTTCATTTCATTAGAACTAATGTTCTTTCTTTTATTTGCTCTCTATATTGTAGATTTTATGCGAAATCTAGGATCTGCGTGGTTATTGATTGGTGGCTTATGCTACCATCTTTTGATTAGCTACACATATTTGGATCCCACTGTAAAATACTCTGTAAAGCACTCACAGCTGACAGAAAAAATTGCTTGTCTCCAGCTTGAGAATGAGGTATTTTTTATATTTAGTTTTTTAAACCACTTCAACTTGAATTACTACTTTTCAGCCTCGGGTTTTGCCATTTCACTCCATGGGGAGAAATTTGTAAATTTTAAAATTTTGAGTATTACGTTATATGCATAAATGCATAAATTACCCTTTGAGATGATTGAACAAAAAATATTTAATTAATTAAGTTCACTAAAACTGGATCATTTAGTGTCTGTTTGGCTCAAGTTATTGCGACAAACAAATGTTTACTAGATATCAATCTTATTGGGATAGTCCAAAGTGGAAAGTTTTGTGAGCAATACTTAGTCTAAAACTGTGACGAGCTCTCATGCCCAAGCTTGATGTGAAAATTCTATTCATGATCTTACAGGTAAGAAGAGAGTGTACTTATTTATCAGGGTCCTTTCAGTTAAGAGAAGATGACAGACATACCAAGGTGTTAGAAGAACTCAATACCAAGCTGAAGAAACTTCAAAAACATGTAAGGAGAGTTTTATTATCCATATGTTTTTAATGTTGTTGATTCACTTGATTGTTAACATGCTTTGCATTTATTACCCATGTCATCTCTAGTCTTAGCAATTACTAGTTATATGTTTTTTTTTTTTTTTATATAAGCACACATGAATTCTGATAACTCGAGTATTATGCCAGGACAGAAAAACATTCACTATTGTGCTTGAATGCCAAGAGGAGTAAGTAGCTAGTGAAAAGGGGGAAGCTTCAAGGTATAAATACTAGTGAACTTTGCAAACTCTTGTATTAAAAGTTAAATTTCTAACTTATGTAATTATTCTTTGCAAACTCTTGTAACTTTTGTATTAAAACTTTACAAAAACATTCACTATTGTGCTTTAAATACAAGCTTAAGTTCAAAATGGAGAAGGAAACCTCCATGACAAGTCTCTTGTTACAAAGGACAACACAAGTAAGTTGTGTTATTCAGTTTTTGCTTTCTTATCAATCTATCTTCTGGCTTTGCACCTTTACTGCCTCATTTGTATAGAAACTTATTTTATCACCTAGGAGGCACAACATCTTTAGCTGGCATCTTTGTGATTTGTATGGAATCAAAATTGCCAAGTCTTGCGTTAGCCACAGTTCCTATTATAGTCAGATTGTCATCTAAACAAGCCAGCTCATCAACTACTCATATGGATATTATCACCCGGATATCAATTCTTGTTAACTGTTCTCCTTGTGCTCCAGGAGTTGTGTATGGATATTATCACCCGGATATCAATACATGTAGTTCCAACAAGTTGATTATGACAAAGCGGTTATTGATCTGGTGCGTTCAGAATGGGCCGATATTCTATCAAGTTATATAGAGTAGGTATGATTTGACGTTGTGATCATTTAGACTTGGTTTGTGGATCGGAATTGTTTTTTGTAGTATTATGACTTGGATGATGATTTGATTAGAATTGGTCATGCTCAGTATTTAGACTTGTTATTATGAACCTTGCTTAGCTTGTGCAATGTAACTACACTTGGCCATGGTGAATGGATAAATTGTTTTTTTTTTTATATGATTGAAATTTAAGCAGGTTAAAAACGGGTTGAGACAACGGTTAAAAGTTGTCTATTTTACAATAGACAACAGTTTGAAACTGTTGTCTTTTTTACAAAAGACAACAGTTTGAGACTGTTGTCTTTTCTACAAAAGACAACAGTTTATGGGTGTGACTTTTAACAACAGCGATTTCAACAACACACAATAGACAACAGTTTATAACTGTTGTCTTTTAAAGAAAAGACAACAGTTAAAAACCGTTGTCTATGTGCATCACTTTTAACAACACCGGTTTCAACAACATTGAATTGACAACGGGTCAAAAACCGTTGTCTTTGGAAGAAACGACAACGGTTTAAAACCGTTGTCTATGTTCGTGACTTTTAACAACACCGGTTTCAACAACACTTAATAGACAACGGTTAAAAAACCGTTGTCGTTTCTAGAAAAGACAACGGTTATTAACCGTTGTCTATATGCGTGACTTTTAACAACACCGGTTTCAACAACACTTAATAGACAACAGTTAAAAAACCGTTGTCGTTTCTAGAAAAGACAACGGTTATTAACCGTTGTCTATGTGCGTGACTTACAACAACACCAACTTCAACAACACTTAATAGACAACGGTTAAAAAACCGTTGTTGTTTCTAGAAAAGACAACGGTTATTAACCGTTGTCTATGTGCGTGACATACAACAACACCGACTTCAACAACACTTAATAGACAACGGTTAAAAAACCGTTGTTGTTTCTAGAAAAGACAACGGTTATTAACCGTTGTCTATGTGCGTGACTTAAGACAACACCGGCTTCAACAACACTTAATAGACAACGGTTAAAAAACCGTTGTTGTTTCTAGAATAGACAACGGTTAAAAAACCGTTGTCTATGCGCGGGACTTACAACAACACCGGCTTCAACAACAGAAATTATACCCCTACGACAACGGTTATTAACCGTTGTCTATGTGCATTTTTCTTGTAGTGGTTGTTTATTTTGGAAGCGTTTTGACTGCTACGATATTGATTTTGGTTTGGCTATTTTGGACATGATTATGCTAGTAAGGTAATAATGGACTGACATTAGTTAGGGGGAGTAATAGAAGTGTTGATGCTCCTAACTAACAGTATGAATTTTTTTGGTATGATATCTGCTCAAGAAAATCGTTGATTTGGTATGCTATGGTTTTTATGTCTGTATGTGATTCAAGATTTGAAGTGTTTCAATCAGGTTTTCAACTCACATGTGGTCCAAAAGAATTAAGTTGCTAATTGTTAATTTTATATTTCTATGTCTTGTTAAGTGTCTATACTAAGGGCCATAAATAAAAATAGTTTTTAATCTTGCCCAAAGTATTTGATACTCAAGTTTACCAAATAAAATGCCAAAGGGGGAGATTGTAAGTGTAAAATTAAAATTACACTATTGGCTATTTTAATTGGTTTTACTAGTTGTAAAAATTAAATCAATGTAATTTGTTTTAATTAGTTACGGGCCATGTGAGTATGAAATAAGTGGTCAGAATGCTTTGTATGTTGTGTATCATTAATCTGTGAAGAAGCTTTCAAAAGGACAAGAATGAGTGGTGGTGATTCATTCGAACAAGTGGCAGCTAAAGAAAAGGCTAAGGCTAAGGATCTAAACTAAAGGTTCAAGAAAGGCTATAAATACACATGGTTCGAAGGAAGCATCTGCCAACTTTGAGAATTATACACTGCCAAGAGCTCTCTTGATTTTACAAAGCAATTTATATTTTGAATGTAATTTCTGATTTAATTCGTAAGAATATTTATTGTACTGCATGATCAGTACGTGGTACTGCTGAAGCATCTTGTGAAGATTGTTCGGGTTTTCGTGTGTCAATCCTAGATAGGTGTTAGAAAGAGTGGTAGTGGTAAAGGCTGGAGGCCGTATTCAATTACCTCTTGTAATACTCCTTTGGTGAACATCTATAGTGGATTGGGCAGACGTGGGTTGCCCCGCAGACGTAGGAGAAGGAGCTCCGAACTGCGTAACAATTTCCTTGTGTTTTTATTTTTATTTATGCTTTCTGCAGTTATTATTTCTACTTACTTAAACAAGTTTAATTAATCAACTAAATTGGTGCTTAACTCAATTAACGTATAAAAACACATATCTTTTCTATTTCAAGTATCACGGAACAATTTCACATATCTATCCATCACAAAATAAGGACAAAGTAAATAATAATTGTTCAAAGTCTTTGAACAAGTTATTTTATATTCTTCAACAATCATTCAACATCAACCATCCATTAATTTTAACTTTTAAATGGTTGAAAATACCTTCGTTTATAAGGATAGTTTTGAAAAGAAGATATTAATATTTTCTTAAAAATTGCGTGAAACTTACCTATCTATCACAATATAGGAATTGAGTAAATAATAATTGTGCAATTTTTTTTTTTTAATGTAATTCTCCATCAATCATTCAATCTCTCAACCATCATTTTAACTTTATAAGAACAACCTCATCCCGTCATCCGTCTATGTTTTTATTCAAAATATTTTAGACGATGTCAAAGTAGAATAGAGATCTAGGGGAAAAGAGCCAAATAAAAAAGGAAAAAGAAAAATTGAAAAAAGAAGAAAATGCATATCTTACGTGCCCAACAATTAATGCACGCGCCTGTTGGGTATGCTCAAGCGCACACCTACGGACATAAACTAAGCATATTTTCCTGACAGTTAGTCCCACAAAAGCTCTCATTCGTAGTAAAAAAAAAAAAAAAAAAAAAAAAAAAAAAAAAAAAAAGTCTTCTATCTCATTACATCTTTGAGCTCTCCACCTATGCTAAAAAGTTGATAAAACTCAAAAACTCATACTAGAGTTGCTCTAACCTTTTTTTATTTTTATTTATTTTTATTTTTTTATTAAGGATAATTTTAAAAGATACTCCGTATATAATATCACATCTTATTTATTCAATAAAAATATTAAATGAAACACAACTACCAATTACAAATAAAAATGAGTAAGTAATTAATAATTTACCAAATAGGGCAGAGTAAATAATAATAATTCACAAAATAGGACAAAGTAAGCAATAATTGTCCATTTTTTTTTGACACGTGATTTTATACTCCTCGCTTATCATTCAATCTCCACTATCTTTGTAGTCATCGTACAACACAAACAATTTATTATTTGTCATTGCATGCAGCTGCTAATTAATGCAGCTTTCTCTTATGTATAAGAATAAGAACAGTACATAGTATGGTATGCATTAGAGTAGTTGGAGCTTTGTTACGGCAAGTGGATTTCATAGAGTAAAACTCTCATCATAATAATTTTTAATCAGTGAAAATTGTAGATTTTATTTCAAAGCTATAAGCTAATCTATATAAGTGCTGGGTCCCGAACTCTGGTTGTTCACATACATTATCCAACTCGAAAATACTATATGAACTCTATTTCTTACTTCAAACTTTTACTCTTTTTCACAAATTTTTAATATAGACATTTTTTCTATGACCCACATAATTAAAATATCACATCCTTGTTTACCATATCATGAAGTAAAAGTGAGAGTACAATTTTGAATTACACGTGATAGAACTCTATTCAACCTCAGCTCGACATATAGCTAGGAAAATCAACACCTGCTCTTATTATTGGCTATGTTTGGGAAACCTAGCTGAAAATGTAACTGAAAACTGAAGAGCTGTTAAGCTAGATGTTGTGCTTGAAAGTGTTTGGTAAAATTAACTTTTTGATAAGCTGATAAATGTAAAAAGACAAAAAATGACTTCATCATAAAATTTAAATTTGTTTGTTTACATATTAAAATTTAACATTTTGTCTTTAAAAAAATAACATTTTGAAATAAAACTATTAGCATAATTATGATCTAGCATCCTATAATGAAGTAGTAATATTGTTATGAATCTCCTTCATCTAATAATAATAATAATAATAATAATAATAATAATAATAATAATAATAATAATAATAATAATAATAATAATAATAATAATAATAATAATAATAATAATAATAATAATAATAATAATAATAATAATAATAATAATAATAATAATAATAATATTTGTGGTGAAACTTGGGGATAAAGGAGAAGAGAAAAATGTTTTAATTGAAAAGGGTAAAGGATGTCATTTCTTTAAAATAATAAGGACAAAGATGAAAAAAAAGTTAGAAAGTTACTAGCTTATTTTGAAACGTTATCTAAGGTAGCGTTCCAAAATAAGCTCCTATTTTATGCTACTACGAGTTTATTTTGAGAAAATTACCAAACAAAGCTTATAGCTTTTTTTTTTTTTTTTTTTTGAAAAGGAAGCTTATAGCTTATTAGTAGACTAGATATGAAAATACCATCATAGTCCCGAAGTGAATTAAAAAAAAATTAACTCTAAATAAATGTATTACTCTATCTCGTTCATTTTATGTATCTATTTAAATTAACAATATTTTATTTAAGTTATTATTAATTTAGTACTGGCGTTTAAAATGTATATATATCTATATAGGGTCAGGTTCCTGTGAGAACAAGGCTTCTCGTGCAGTCAGTGCGGCATACACCATTAGGTATGCATAAATGCACCACAAAGTGTTCGAAAATACACCATTATGTGTGGTGCATTTTTGACATTTCATTCTGGTGTATTCTCGAACACTGCATAGTGCATTTATGCATACCTAATGGTGTATGCCACACTGACTGCATGGGAAGACCTGTGCCCACAGGAACCAATATATATATATATATATATATATATATATATATATATATATATATATATATATATATATATATATATATA